GAGGAGGAACGCGCCGCTATTCACATGTGCAGCGGCGCGTTCTTCCTCACAACCGCTGCTGAGTCGGGGACAACCAGCAGCTTCGCAGGAGGTGGCTGGGTTCACAGGGCACCATACAAAATTTTGCTATGGTGCCCTGTGATTTCTAGTTATACCCCTGTATATGTGTATATATATATATATCTATATATATAGATATATATATACACATATATACATATGCACACATATACATACATGCACACATACACACAGTACCTATATACGTGTTTCAGGTGTATTTTAGATGTTTGCCCGGAGTGCATGCATGATTATTATTCAGGTTTCTGAAATGGAAAATTTAAATTTATTCCATTCAGTTAGGCCCTGCTGAGACTAGAAAGTCATGCATATATTTTGGGCCACTGCAATCTGTAGAGGCTCTGAATGCACTGTATGAGTTACTCTGAGGACTGCATGTAGATACTGCACATAAGCAGGGCATGAGGACCACTTGAGAAATTGTGGCATCTGGTGGTGTCAAAGTACAGCAATTATACTTTGGTGAACAAGTAGCACTTGTATATTAAAACTCATGTACTGAATGATGCGTTTTACTAGACTAGCAGTACATAAATTAATCAGGCCGATTTATACAACAAAAGGAAAGGAGAGGTAGTTCCAGCAGCATCTAACCAGGTTTCTGCTGTCATTTTTATACGTTAAACTAGAATTAGAAAGATGTTTGTGGCAGATGTTTTTTCTGTACTTGCAGGGTGTTTAAAGGGATAAAATATGGGGAAATGCGCATGCATTGCATAGATGTACTACATATTTAATTTTTTTATTTTGCCTTGACATATGCTTTAAGTTTTTCTCTGTCATCTGGCTTTTCTTCTTGTGTACTCTGCACACCAACTTTCAGCTTGACATGAAAGGATGACATGGTAAAATCCAAGGGAGTATAAGGAATGTGACACACAGGTGATACAGTATGTAATCCCCAAATTGTTTGCTGCTGAAATATTATACATTTAATTCATAGCACAATACAAGGACACTGGCATTTGATTTGTATACTTACTTTTTTATCTACAGAAAGAGTATAGTTTGAATGTATATTAGAACTAAATGAGTATTGTTGGATCTGATTTTTGAAAAGTTTTATGTGCAGGCAGTATGGGAAATTATACTAGAAAATATAAACTAGAAAGCAGCGGCTGTTAGAGTTACCACTAAAGTCACTGCAATATAAGATAGTATGAGCCTAATCAGACATACTGCAGCAAACAAAAATGCCATTGCCATATGTTCCACATAGTATGAGGATTAATAATCGTCAGTGTACTATATTAATGGTCTCATATAAACAAAGTTATGTGAGGCTGAGAATCGTATCACAGGAGCATGCTAAATTTCACTCACTAGGTTTATATTTCCATAGATACTTTATATTTTCTATGTACTGAACACGCAGCTTTAATATGCATCTGTTCTCAGACATAGAACATGGATGCCTGGTTAGTCAAAAATGCCACTTTTGTGCAGATATAGATAGATATATATAATATTTATATTATATATACCCTTATCCTAACTACAAAGAAATAAAAATGTTTTTACATTTTTTACTGTTAAACAAAAGTATATGGAAAATATGCAGCTTCCCCGCTGCACACTGAGCACAGGGAGTCACTGGCTCAGCACCGCCACCATTCAGAGAACGCCCCAGGTTTTTTTTTATTCAATGAATACAAGACATTCTTGGATTGGACGAGGTGAAAACATTAAATTTGAACAAACAAACATTTTAGCAATACTTACATGCTGCACAATCACCTCTGCCCTTGCTAAGCTGGATGATATGTTCTGCAGCATATCCTGAACAGTGTTTGGCCGCCGGGTCATTGTACCACTTTGTCTGTTAAGAAAAATAAATAAATAAAAAATAATTAATGCACATGTATTGGAAAGTAATATATTAGGATCCATAATATGTTTATATCAAAGGATTTTAAGAAGCTGCCTCCTGATAGACCACCCCCCTCCTACAAGGTATACTCACTCAAATCGCACTGCCTCCCTGCTGCAGAAGTCAACCCTAAAAGTAAGCGCTGGATGGTACTGGAGCTTACCCAGGTGGATGACATAACTTGGGCACCAGAACATATTGGAGAATGAGAACAAGCCAACAACAACAGATAATGAGGATCATTTCTTAAAGGAGCTGAGAATCTTCACACAATGAAATGTGTAAATCTTTACTTTACAGTTGTATAATGATTCTCAACTCTTTTTTGTAAATCAGCCCAAATATCTCTAGGGGCCCGATTTATAAATCTTCCTATGCTCCTCAGCACCATCTAGTGGCGGTAGTGCTGTGCAAACGGTATTCACCCAGCTGTGCACTGGGCAGAAGATTTATAAATGGGCCCCTAAAGTGTATGTTAATGATAACAAATGAACTCGTTTGCTCACTTTCGTTCTGCTAATATTAGCGTTAAAAGTGTTTTGTCATGTTAAGTTAGTCCAAAAAATACCTGCCGATTTTGCCAGAAATAATAATAATGATAATTTCTTGTGCTCTCTGCCTGTACTCCAAGGGTCATGGGGATGAGGCGGTGGAGAGATGAGGAGAAGCCTGTGTTCCTTCTCATCAGAAATAAAGTAGGCAGGGCTGACACCAACAGCATAGGAATTCACAGCTGTGTTGTCATGTCAAAGAGCAAGGTAGAAGCATGCTATATTTTTGGCACATCAACAGTTATATTTTTGTAGTTGCAGTGTGTTTAAAGGGATAAGACATGGGGAGGGGAATAGAGATGTACTAAATATGTATTTTTTTTATTGTGCCTTAACTTTATCTGATAAAATGTGTTTTTGACTGATTACAAAATATTTCCAGTGTTGCTTAATCTTTGATACAATGCTACATAGTATACTTTTTGGCTACAGCTGTCTTGATTGAGTTTTGTGGAAATAAAACTGTTAAAATACTTTTAAAATGTCTAACCTGAAATCAGCGGTACAGCGAATACAAAAGAGGCTGACCTGACAATCTGTGTTTGGATGATGTCACATGATAGTAATATGAAGATTTTTTTGTTTTTCCACTTTGTCAAATGTTCATTGGTGTCAAACACCTTGCATGGAAGCCTGATACGGTATATTTGCCAAAACAAGCCTTTGCTGGTTTGGAGTGGGTGTGCACGCTTTTATTTGAACAATGCCTCAACTTGTCAGCAAGTAACAAAAGGCTGATTGTTATGCTGACTCATGTAAAAGATGTACATGTTAGAGGAGCCTCATAATACTCAGCAACAAAAGTCTGATTTAATTAATAATACTCAGCAACAAAAGTCTGATTTAATTACACCCACAGTTAAGTAACTAGTGCTAGGACCAAAGAAGGCTTTGAAGAAGAACACATTTGAGTATGAACTGGCAAAAAGGAGAAATTCCTGACTTGAGAATATGCTTTGTTAAAAATAGGAGAGTCTGTTCAACTACCCAATTTCTACACAAGATTTTCCCTGCACACTCCACTTCATTAAAGCCTTTTTCACATGGGAGGCAGGCTCCACCGCCCCCTGTGAAAGGTGTTCTGCGGTGGATAGTTTTTAGAGGAATGTTGAACAGTGACTTGTGGGGATGCAGGAGGCCTGGAGGAATGCTGCTGCCTCCTGAATGCCTGGTATTTCATGCCAAGGGAGATTTTACATTGAAATAACATGCCGCAGCAAACAAGCTTTTGGCACACTGTTGCGGCGCAGTCCCATTGAATTTAAGAGGCTGCCAAACTTTACTTGCCAATTTAAAATTGCTGCACCACAAATGTAAGCATTGTAGCAACAGCAATGTGTACGGTCCTAGGCAGCCGCCATAGCACTGTAGGTGGGCAGTCATCAACTGTTTTCCCCAACCCCCTGCCACCCACGTGTATTTAGACTTTAAATATACAAATGCTTAACGGGTAGGTATGTATTGAAAATACAACACCAAGAAAGCCACTGACACACTCTACAGAAAAGAAGGGTCTGAAGCGTGACTGCCCTTGGGGTTGGACAGGTGAAAAAAATATATATAAAAAATGATAAAATTAAAAATAGAAATAAGGAGCTGGATGGACTTGGGTATGCAGGGTTAATATTACTTACACACAGGCACCCGACGGAATCGCACCCCGGCTCTGCATTTGAAGACCCTTCACCCAACCCCTGAGGAGACCGCCGGACACTGCCTCCAACAGGGACCCCCATCGTCGATGACCACACTTCCTTAAGAATCTCGCGGTGAGTTGATATATGCACCACACACCACTTAAACTTTCCTCCATCTATAACAGAAGCTGCACGCCACACCTACTTTTACACCTTCCTCTCCCATACAGCCTAGATTTAGTCATACAAACACCCGTAAAGCTCTGATCAACACAAAACCACTCATCCCCAACCCCACAGGAGAGCGCTGTTATCCTTAATTTTTTCCCACTGACACACTCTAGTCTAGAGTGTCCCTTTACCTACCCTTACCATAACTGTCTATAGCTAAAACCGAGACTGTAGGTACATAAATGCTCAGGGTACTTATATTTCATTGACACAAGGCTCCACACATTTTTCCAGTGTCAAGTGGTCACAATAAACAATGTGTGCAAAGATTCTGTCACCAGTAGAAAAGCAAATAAGGCAATCATCATCTTGTGACCAGTATTAGAGACTTTCATGCGCACACACAGCTTCAAAGTATGAAGTCCTTTGGAGTTACTTGAACAGCGATGACCAGGCATTATACACTGCCTGTTCAAAAAGAGAGTCACTAACTCTAATATTTCGTTGGACCGCCTTTAGCTTTGATTACGTCACGCATTCACCGTGGCATCGTTTCCATAAGCTTATGCAATGTCATAACATTTATTTCCATCCAGCATTGTATTCATTTTTCACCAAGTTCTTGTAGTTATGATGGAAGAGTTGGACCACTGCGTAAAGTCTTCTCCTGCACATCCCTAAGATTCTCAATAGGGTTAAGGTCTGGACTTGGTGGCCAATCCATGTGTGAAAATTATGTCTCATGCTCCCTAGACCACTCTTTCATAATTTAAGTCTGATGAATCGTAGCATATCTTGAAATATGCCCATTGTGCCATCAGGGAAGAAAAAAATCCATTGATGGAAAAACCTGGTCATCCAGTATATTCAGGTAGACAGCTGACCTCATTTTTTGGGACAGAACGATGCTGAAGCTAGACTAATTATGCATTGGAAGGCTCTGACCTATTTGCTTAGCTGAATCCAGATGGTGACTATTTTTTTTTGGCCTGGCATTGTAAAATAACCAGCTAACATTTTATCTAAAATTTGAAAGCCACACTTTGATTTTCAAACAACCATGTTTGCTATTAACACACACATGGGGTAATAACATAAACCAATGTCTTATTTTTGCATTACTACATGAAGAAAAGGAGTTCTGCATTTGAACTTGGGTGTTCGCATGTATGTTCCTTGTATTCACACCAGATAACACCAAGATTAGAGGTAGGAGATTTACTGCGGAGGAGGCCATGTCATGGGCTTGACATCTGCTTTTCCACCATAACGACAATGTAAAGTATGCATACGATGACAGGTTACAGCAATACTTTTACATTCCAAAACAAGCCCCCGTTGTCATGGTGCACATCGGCACCAATGACAAAATAGGATAGCAACATTAGCGATAAACTGTTTAAAATTAACTCCGTTACAAAAACTAGAGGCCATCACCTAAAATTGGTGGAAAAAAAATTCCAGCACAAGGGGCGAAGGGGGTTCTTCACAGTAAGATCAGTTAGGGTCTGGAACTCACTGCCACAGGCGGTGATTTCAGCAAATAATGTGGAATTGTTCAAGAAACTTTTGGGCGATTTCTTAAGGGACCGTAATATACAGGGGTACAGGTAATATACAGGGGTACAGGTACTCCTAGAATGAGATCCTAATAGGTTGGACTTGATGGACTAATGTCTTTATTCAACCTCAAATACTATGTAACTATGTAACTATGTAATATATTGCTTTTACAAGTAAAATGTCTGCAAAAAAAGCAATGTTTAAATTTTTCTTCCATTATATAGTATAGCTTCCTGGCGCCAACTTTTTGGTGCTATAGGCACCTGGGACGCGGCTTCTGCCACTAGGGGTATTTAAAATGATTCCCTAATCTGGTGTTGCACTGTGCATAGCCATCTCTGCCACCGGTGTCCCCTGCACCAAGATTACACAGCTCCAAGATCGGCACTAGTTGAAAGTGATTCATATGATTTAGAACTGCAGAATAATCAAGTTCACGTTATAGCTGCTGAATTTCATAGCAAAATCTTATTCCTGGCTTTGGGTAGAATGGTAAAGGGTTGGAACAACTTGATATTTGTGTCCATGTAGAAAAAAAATTCCCATCACTTGCTGTTCCTTCCCCATGCTATCCAAATCTTATACTCTGAACTCTGGGCAAATACCAGAGACGCTACCATGGGACAGGCTGGTAGTGGGCTGTGTGGCATTGCCATGTGCATCTCAGAACTGGATGGGCAGAAATACAAAACTTTTGGCAGAAAGCCAGAATCTACATATGATTTGCCTGGATTTCAACTTCAAACACCTGCAGTGCCACTTTAACTAATAGTTATAGTAATAATAGTGTTAATAAAGTACTGAATCTCTGATACATGTAAGACATTAGTGCCCTTCCTGAAATAATAACTTGACAGACACTGTATAATGCCATAGTAATGGCAATACCAGTAATCGCAAGAAGGAAATGGTCTTCTAATATAACATTGAGATTCCACAGGAAATCCATAAACTACATAGAAAATTATGTGCCATTCGGACAAGAACACAGATGAAGTTTCTGCATAGATACATGATACTGTACATG